CCCTGAGCCGAAGCCATGAAAACCGATTCCATGGTTTCAGAGGGCCCAGCAATGCCCTCTTGCCCCTCATTTTGGCTCAAGGTTCCCTTAGAAAATAGCCAACCTCCACATAGGTACCCTGATGATAATATGGTTCCCCTAAACCCTAAACCCTAAACCCTAAACCCTAAACCCTAAACCCTAAACCCTAAACCCTAAACCCTAAACCCTAAACCCTCAACCCTAAACCCTAAACCCTAAACCCTAAACCCCAAACCCTAAACCCTAAACCCTAAACCCTAAACCCTCAACCCTAAACCCTAAACCCTAAACCCTAAACCCTAAACCCTAAACCCTAAACCCTGATTATACTGTGGTTGCTGGGCTCCCAAGAGGCGGCCATGCTGGAGGAGGAGCTGGAGACGCAAAAGCGCAGGGTGCTACTCTGAACCGGCCACTGCCAGGATCGGAAGGTCCCGGGTGCAGACGTTCACTAAGCCCCAAAGGCCCTAAAACCCTAAACCCCTAAACCCGAAACCCTAAATCCTAAACCCTAAACCCTGGACCCTGAACCCTGAACCCTGAACTCTAAACCCTAAAAACCCTAAACCCTAAACCCTAAACCCCAAATGCCCTAAGCCCTAAACCCCAAACCCCAACCCCATACACCCTAAATCCTAAGCCCCAACCCCCTAAACCCCTAAACCCCTGAACCCTAAACCCTAAACCCTAAACCCTAAACCCTAAACCCTAAACCCTAAACCCCAAACCCTAAACCCTAAACCCTCTTTTACTATGTATATTTAAACCCTAATGACCTTCGTGGGCATGTGGTTTTTTTCTGGGCCCTAAACCCTGACCCCCTTCGTGGGCAAATGGTTTTTTCCTGGGCCGTGCCTCCAAAAACACCCCAAATGAGGGGGACCGGGTCCCAGTTCAAAATGCGATTTTTTAGTACTGAAATCGACGGTTCTGGGTGGGCTCTCGTTTTCTGGATTTTTCATCAAAACCGAGCCTTTGGGCCCTAAACCCTGACCCTTCGTGGGCAAATGGTTTTTTTCCACCCGGGGGGGCCCTAAACCCTGACCCCCTTCGTGGGCAAATGGTTTTTTTCCACCCGCCCTGACCCCCTTCGTGGGCAAATGGTTTTTTCCACCCGGGGGGGCCCTAAACCCTGACCCCCTTCGTGAGCAAATGGTTTTTTTCCACCCGGGGGGGCCCTAAACCCTGACCCCCTTCGTGGGCAAATGGATTTTTCCACCCGGAACGGCCCTAAACCCTGACCCCCTTCGTGGGCAAATGGATTTTTTCCACCCGGAACGGCCCTAAACCCTGACCCCCTTCGTGGGCAAATGGTTTTTTTCCAACCGGGGGGGGCCCTAAACCCTGACCCCCTTCGTCGGCAAATGGTTTTTTTCCACCAAACCCTGACCCCCTTCGTGGGCAAATGGTTTTTTTCCACCCGGGGGGGCCCTAAACCCTGACCCCCTTCGTCGGCAAACGGTTTTTTTCCACCCGGAGGGGGGGGCCCTAAACCCCCCCTTCATCGGCATATTGTCTGGTGGGCCTTTGGGGCATAGGGTTTAAAGGCACGGTCTGAGGGTCCCCCCCACCCCCCCCCCCCCCCCCCCCCCCCACCCCCCCCACCACCCCACCCCCCCCCCCCCCCCCCACCCCCCCCACCCTCCCCCGCCGCAGTAGGTTGAGAGTTAGATTTCGGGTTTTGGGCCAACTGGACCTTAAGCTTTAAGCCTGCTGGGAATGTATTGAGTGATTTTTGTATTTTCTCAATGTTGTGGGTTTCTTGGGTGGGTGGGGTTTTATTCCAACACTTGACAAGCTGCTTGACTAGTGAATGCTCGGACTTGAGATGCTGAACCCTAAACCCTAAACCCTAAGGCCCGGCTGTCCGACCGAGCCCTGTGCCAAGACGGCAGAGGGTTCAAGCCATCGGTTCCCTCCTCGCGAGACAAGGGCGGCATCAAAAAAGAGAGCCTTCATGGGGTTTAGGGTTTAGGGTTTAGTGTTTAGGGCTAGGGTTTAGGGTTAAGGGTTTAGGGTTTAGGGTTTAGGGTTTCGGGTTTCCGGTTTAAAGGTTTAGGGTTTAGGGTTTAGGGTTTAGGGTTTAGGGTTTAGGGTTTAGGGTTTAGGGTTTAGGGTTTAGGGTTTAGGGTTTAGCGTTCACCGTTCAGGGTTTAGGATTTAGGGTTTCGGGTTCAGGGTTAGGGCCTGCGGAGAACTGCCAATTGCAGGAGCCATCCCTACATCGTGGCATCGAATGTCCTCTTGCGCAACGTCCCATGAAGCCGCCCTGGTTCTTAGTTTAGGATTTAGGGTTTAGGGTTTAGGATTTAGGGTTTAGGGTTAAGGGTTTAGGGTTTAGGGCTAGGGAATGAGGGAACGAGGGCCCTATATATACCCGTTAAGGGGATTATATAGGGCCCTCATTCCCTCAGTCCCTACTAAGAACCAAGGAGATGCGAGGGGTTTCTTGGAAGGTCTGGGTTGTTGGAGCCCCAATCCTACCTTCTTGCAAGCCTCTGAACCCTCAACGCTGAGCACCCTAAACCCTAAGAACCCTGAACCCCTACACACCGAAACCCTGAATTCAGACACTGAAGTACTGTCCGGGAATTTTGGGGGGTTCAGGGTGCCCTAAACCCTAAATTCTGATCCAGAGGTGTCGTGTTCTTTCTCCTTTGGCTGGGGATCCTTTCTGTAAGAAATCCCCCAAAACCCTACACTCTAAGCCCCAAGCCCTGAGCCTCAACCCGAAACCCCCTGAATATGGAGGCTTCCCCACACTGGGGCTGGTGCCTTTGCTATGTCTCCTCGTGCAGGTGCGCCGTGGCTACAAGCGCGTCCTGGAGAACGTGAAGCAGCTGTCGCTCTCTCTCTAGCTCATCCCGATGCAGTAGTTTTGTGGAATTCGTTCAACGTTGGATCCTTCTGGGGCTTCCCAGACCCCGAATGCTGCTGTTTCCTGTGCAAGCGTGCCGAAGGACTGAGCGAGGTAGGTTCAATCATGGACTGCGTGACGGGCGTCTAGACTTGGTGAGGGACACCCCCAGTCACCCGGCCAATCCTTTGGCGAAGCTGGCGCATGCATGGAAGTTGTGGGCAGTGGGTTACACAAAGGAAGGTCCGGGCTTAGAATTTCGACCCTCAACCCTCCCTAAACCTTAACCCCTAAACCCCAAACCCTAAACGCTAAACCCTAAAGCTGAGGCGTAGGGCTTCGGGTTTAGGGCGGCCGTTCAGCTCTCACTCCTCCACCCACTGGCCACGGGCCAACCTAACGCCACTCCTCCAAGCGCCAAGTTTGCACGTCAACGAAGTTGCTCATTGCAAAACTGGGGCTGTTCTAAGCTGGGGTCCCTAGTCTTCTTCTTGTTTTTTTTTTTTGGTTCTCTGCTTCGTGGCTACTACTCTTAATGCTGTTCTTAAAACTTAGTATTTTGTACTCTTACAAGTAGAACAGGGACCTCAGCACAGAACATCCCTCAACTCCACGGCACTCGTCGTAGAACTTGGGTGCCCAGCAATGCTCGTCAACGTGCCTTCAAAAGAGGCCGCGTAGCCTGGCAACTCCGATGTAGGGTTTATAGATTTATACAGGTGAAGCCCCATTCTACGCCCTAATCCGAAATCCCAAATCCCAAACCCCAAACCCCAAACTCCAACCCCCAATCCCGAAACCCGAATTCTATCGCGCGAAGACACTTGAGGGGTCTTATGACCCTAAACCGTAAACCCTAAACCCTAAACCCTAAACCCTAAAGGTTTGTCTAATGGCTCTCTTTTGTCTCATGCCCGGTTTCCGAAAAGCCCTAGAAGCTTCAAACCCTGTCCCGGAACTGCAATTTCTAATCTAGAGTTTAGGGTTTAGGGTTTAGGGTTTAGGGTTTAGGGTTTAGGGTTCAGGGTTCAGAGTTCAGGGTTCAGGGTCTAGGGTTTCAAGGCATGGGCTCATTCAGTTTCATGTTTCGGGGCCTCGGGCCGCCTTGTTTTCGCCTTAGGGCTTGGGGTTTAGGGGTTTAGGGTTTCGGATCAGGGGTTTAGGGTTGAGGGGTTTAGGGTTAGGGGTTTAGGGTTATAGGGGTTTAGGGGTTTCGGGTTTTAGGGGTTTCGGGTTTTAGGGGTTTAGGGTTTTAGGGGTTTAGGGTTCTAGGAGCCCAGGCGGTGGGGGCAGCAAAGGGCCCAGAGCCTTGGTGTCCGTAGTCCCGAAGTGCACCGGCCAACCGAAGAAGGCACCCCAAAACCCTCAACCCTCAACCCTCAACCCTCAACCTCAACCCTAAACCCTAAACCCTAAACCCTAAACCCTAAACCCTAAACCCTAAACCCTAAACCCGAAACCCTAAACCCTAAACCCTAAACCCTAAACCAGGTTTTGCATGTTGCTCGGCTTGCCTCGTGTACTGCAACATCAAACATGGGAACAGCCTAGTTTAGGAATTAGGGAATCTGACCACCTTATTTAGGGTTTAGGGTTTAGGGTTTAGATTCCTGTAGCCCTGGAGTGAATGTTCTGCTGAACATGGCTCGAGGTGCATAAGTACCTCTCCGGGTGCAAGCAGTCTGCGGTCAGGTAGGTCCTTGAGCCATGAGAAACTTCTCTGCAAGCATCATGCAGACGATCTTGGAGGACCTCTTTGCTTTGGAGGGATTCCAAGATTTCTGGCCGGAAGGTGCGTGCTATGCTCCCACCAGCACGTGGGATTTTTGAGGTGCGTGGGACGAATCGCAGCTGAAGCAGTTGCTGAAGCAGGGGACCAAGAAGCTGGACGCAGCGCAGTCACAGGTGAAATCGATTGAGCAGCTTCTGTTGACGTCGTAGTCGGTTGGGATGGTGGTGCAGTCTACGTTGCAATGGAAAGACACTCTTGCCAGCAGAAGCAGGGGACTCCTTGTCTGCGCCGCAAGGAGTCACTGCCCGGTGTTTCTGTCCTCACTTCTGGGCACCCTCTCTGCAGCTGACCTTCAACCCCTCAACCAGGACCATCCAAATCCTGACAGGT